AGTTTTCAGGGCCTGTGGAAAAATACCTGAGTGAAGAGATTTGTTTACTATATGAAGTAGATCTGAGGCCATGCAAGGCAAAACATCTTTAAAAAATCCTGTTGGAATAATATCAAGGCAGCAGGAGGAGGACTTCAGAAGTTGTATAATGTCCTCTAGGTTTTTATCATTAATCTGATGGAATTGTGTCATGGTGTTTGAATTTATGTTAGGTGGACACAGAGACAACACATTTGCTGTTCCTGATGCAGAGGCACTGACTGCTTGTCTGATTTTCTGAATTTTGTCAGTGAAAAAGGAGGCAAATTCATTGCACGCCCTGGTGGATAGAAATTCAGAGGCTACTGACACTGGGGGGTTAGTTAGTCTGTCGACGGTAGCGAACAAGGCACGTGCGTTGTTTTTGGTAATGATGTCAGAGAAGAACGATTGTCGTGCGTTTTTCAATTCCAAATTATAAAGGCCAAGTCTCTCTTTATAGATTTCAAAGTGAACCTGGAGATTTGTTTTTCGCCACCTGCGTTCAGCTTTTCGACATTCTCTTTTTTCTGTTTTCACGCTCATGGCCTTTCTCCATGGAGATATTTTCTTGCCAGACACTTCCTTTACCTTAGTTGGAGCAATGGCATCTATAACATTTTGAACCCTTGAATTAAAATGATCTACTAGCTCATTTACTGATATGTTGGCAGGGGCAAGTGTGGAAGAAAAATTCTGAGTAAACATTTCCCTAGTGTTTTCAGTTAAATATCGCTTTGTGGTTACCTCTTTTTGAACATTTTTGTGAACAGAAATAGAGCTCTCAAAGAAAACACAGGAATGGTCAGAGAGTGCAACATCAGTCACCACAACCTCAGAGATATTCAGACCCTTTGAGATAATTAAGTCCAGAGTGTGCCCCTTATTGTGTTCCGTCACATGCTGAGTCAGTCCATAGCTATCAAGAACACAAAACAGTTATTTTGCCCCTCTGTCCTGGGGGTTGTCAACATGGATGTTAAAATCACCAACAATGACTAGACGGTCAAAGTCAATACACATTATAGACAGCAGTTGAGTAAAGTCATCAAAAAAGCTTGCACAGTATTTGGGTGGTTGTTACAGCCGCTGCTACCTTGTGCCTTTAACTGTGTGTATGCAAATGAGCTGTGCCTTCTGATGCTGTGAGTGGCCGCCCCGACCTCGCAACATTCGCGGGGATTGGACAGACGTCACTCAAGCCCTGCCCGCTGCTGCCACGTCATCCGGGGGAGGAGGATAAAGGCTGGGCACGAACATCCGTCTGGAGGCCCTGTATTTTGTGACAGATGCCTCAACCCTCTACTTGTGACAAAGCCCTCATCCTGTGATTCTGTAGACTGACTAGCAGTGTGTATTCTGTGCTTCTGTAGACTGACTAGCAGTGTGTATTCTGTGCTTCTGTAGACTGACTAGCAGTGTGTATTCTGTAGGGTTCTGTGCGAGCACACTGGTTTGCAGTGTGTCGTGGTATTCTGTGTTTAGTGTAGGGTTTGTGTGTGTGTGTTGCGTAGATCCAGGTTGCTTAGCTCCTGTAGACCCGCATTTAGATTAGTGACATTGTGAAACAGCTTAAACCCAGGTTAGCTTAGCGCCTGTAGATCAGCATTTGTGTATATTGCTTAGACCCCGGTGATTAGCATTGGTTGATCAGCAACAGCTGTGTTTCCACACAGTCCCGTTTTGTTATTGTTTTGTTTCCACTTTAGAAGTGAGATTTTCTTTCCTTTTGTATAGCGGGGCAACTCTCTTTTGGAGACCCCTTTTGTTGGATAGTGACAGCTTGACCCGTTGTTGGGCCAAGCTGGTTGTGTACATCATTTTGCTTACTTGCAGTCATAAATAAACCCACCGGTAACCAATACCAATTACAAACTGGTCGTGTCGTTTCCCCTTTTTACCCCTAGCAAAGAGGGAACGTAACAGTGGTCTATAGATATTTAAGAACAGAGCTCGAGAGGAGCATTTCAGCTATAGAGGTCGGAACATGTTTTAAGTATAAATAAATAAAAGTAGGAATAAAAACATCAATGAATAAATACAGGAATAAATAGCATGCAGTGTTTTCAGATGAATTCAGTGTGTGTGTGCTGTGGCTCAGCTGGAAAGCAGTTGACTCATGACCGCAGGGTCCCTGGTTCAACGACTGGTCAATATGTCTTTTTTGTTTTGTTTATAAAAGCTACAGCTAAATTAGATAATGTAAATGTATTCTTTGATATGGTTTAGCCTTTCTCAGGCTACAACATGGTTAAGTTTACGAATATTATTAAGGAATACAAATCCCTCTTTGCAATGTTTACCAGTGTCCTTAGGCTTTTCAATCGCAATCATTAAACTGGAATAAATACAATATTGTTAACATGAAAATATGATTTAATGTTCGTTGTTTAGAGTTATTCTAAGGCTTTACTCATTGGGAACATGGTATGAGATAGAGCACACTGTTGAGATGTCCAATCTGCCTGTTTTACACACTTTGACCAACAGGGGGGGTTGTGTTCAAATGAAGCCCATGATGAAGCCTCATGAGATGAACCCTTTTGCGAACCAATTGGCTGGAAAGCTTCAAAGCTTCATAAGGCTTCATCTCGCCATCACTACCGGACAGCGCAAAATGCGTATATGAAGTGTCATGAACGCAATAAATCATACCCTCGTGGGGGCGCGCTCATGTGATTGGCTTAGAATGGAGGAGACATCTGATTGGCTATAGATAGAAAAAATTACAAGTACGAATCGGCTGACCGTCAGGGGAGTCTCAAAAACCCACACACGAATGCACAGCGATCCATGCACAGAAAGCGGTTTGTGTTTGCATGTTCAGAGGATTTAAACGGAAAACAAATATGTGAGGATCAAAAATACATATGTAAAACTTTTTTCTGTGTTTGGATTTTATTTACATGTGTATGAAACGGAACACATTTGTGTGTGCATTGAAAAACACAAGTGTGGATCCGGAAATACAAGTGTGAATCGTTTTGCGGATCATGAAATACAAGTGTGAATCCTTCTGTGTGCATGTGTGTATTATGAGACTGTTCTGAGCCAACATCCACAAATGCATTTAAAAGATTTGCAAACTCACAAATACATTTGCAAGTGTAAAACGGATCTGCAAATACGCTAAATATGTTCACAAATTAAAAAAAGATCTGTGAATATCTCTTTAACATTTACACCTTTCGATCAGGCATTTGTGAATCCAATTTGTATTTGTGGACCAAAAATGCGCTTGCGGATCTCAAATCTCTGTTCGCGGATCGTCTTTTTACACACACGGAATTTTGAGACATATTTTTCACCGGTCTCGGCTAAAATCTACTCGTGTCACTCGGTTATTTTCGGAAACCACGTGATGGCCCGCTGATGGCGACATTTCCGCATGATTTCAAAGTAAGAGCAGCTGGCTGCTCCCCCAGAGCTGCTCCCCCGGGACCCGAAAGTGGCGAAAACCTGCACTTCAACATCAACGAAAGTGCTCGATATATGCTATATTGAATCAATAACACAAACTAACTGTATCACTATAACATGATGATGATGGTGATGGTGATGAAGAATGCATCTAACATTCCGCTGTTCATTATAATACAAAAACAGAGCATTAAACAAACCATCATGCTCTTACTTTGAAATCATGCGGAAATGTCGCCATCAGCAGGCCATCACGTGGTTTCGGAAAATAACCGAGTGACACGAGTAGATTTTAGCCGAGACCGGCGGAAAATATGTCTCAAAATTCCGTGTGTGTAAAAAGACGATCCGCGAACAGAGATTTGAGATCCGTGAACAGAGATTTGAGATCCGCAAGCGCATTTTTGGTCCACAAATACAAATTGGATTCACAAATGCCTGATCGAAAGGTGTAAATGTTAAAGAGATATTCACAGATCTTTTTTTAATTTGTGAACATATTTATCGTATTTGCAGATCCGTTTTACACTTGCAAATGTATTTGTGAGTTTGCAAATCTTTTAAATGCATTTGTGGATGTTGTTTTACATTTACAAATCACATATTTACACACAAATTATTTTTATGTTCACACAAATAATTATGAGACATATTTATGCCCATACACACACAACAGTGTTGCAGTCGGGAAGAAAAGCAATGTGGAGCGCCACCTCACCAAGGAGTTTAACCGTGACACTTTTCGAAATCCCGTTTGTGTCCCCCCACTTTACAAATAGACCTAGCCTATATTTATTTTATTTTTTTAACGCAAGCCGTCATCGCCACGGAGGAGCACACAGCCTCTGTGAGCAAGCGAGACAGAGAGAGAAAGCGAGAGAGCTAGAGAGAGCACACTTTTATCTATTTAATATAGCCTAGTTGTAAAAAATAAAGTAAGAAATCATTCCAATGTGTACTACTATAGGACAGTAAAAAAAAAAAAATGTTTTAAAAGGGGAGTGATTAGTAAAATATGCATAAATAAAAAGAAAGAATGCTAACTATAACATAAGATAAGAATAAACAAGTTTAAATTATTTGTTATTAGTTGTGATCATATTCTAAAGATTTTTGGATTATTGAAAAGTACAGCTCCCTTTGAGTGTTGAGAGCTGTATCCATAAATTAATTTTGTTGATTTAGATTTAACCCTAGAGGATGTGAGGTCCACCTTTTTTGAAAGTAGCTCTCATCCTAAAAAAAGGTTGGAGACCCCTGTTATAGAACGATACATTTGACAATGTTAAGCTTGGCCTACCATTTTATTGGAGCAATGAGGAACAGGTGGGGCTTGAAAAGGCCCAGCTGTTCAAAGTGGGGAATGACAGAAAAAGTTTGAGAACCACTGCAGTAGAGGAACAAAATACAAATATGAACCTGAAAATAAGCAGAATAGGGCCCATTAAAAAAAAGACTGTTTTATTGTTCATGTTGTACACACTGAGTTTTAAATCTAAAGACTTCATTTTTGAAATGTGGTTAAACTTAAAAAAGGTTAAATAATGGTCACAGACAGGGAATTCTTGAATATAATGTTGATGCTCTTTAATAGTTGTGGTGAAGGGATCATGAATATGTATTCACTCATAATGATTGATACACAATGAGTTGTTAAAATAGATTGTTCTTGTTTTTTCCTGGTGCATTTTTCCAGTTTTCTTTCAAATGTATAGATTTCCTTCAAGTTAGCATGAAAGAAAATTCTGTTGGTAAACCAAATGTTCTGCAGAAATAAAAATGAAATAATTTTCACAGAGTTTTCGAAACTGTTCTAACAGTTTTACACAACTTCATGTTCTCGAATTCTGCAAGGAAAAAACTCACACAATGAAATATTTGTTTAGATCATTGCCAGTCATCCTCTATCCTTTTGTACTCAGCTGAAAAGCTTCTGAAACTTTGGTTTGAGCATCTCCAGGTTGCTGTTGTTCTCCATCTGCTGCGGCAGGCTCATGATCACCTCGTGAGCTTCCGCAAACAACTTTTCACCGAGAGCCTTCTTCACTCGCTCCCTCCAGGCAGTCAGCTTCTGCCGGCCTTCAAACACATCCAGGCCGGTGGCAACAGGCTGTGAAACACACGGCAAAGCTCACCACATTTCAATAACATGTACATGAAATGTTAAACTGCAGTTTCTCTACCTTGCATGCAGACAGGGTCATCAAAATGTTATTCTGACACAGACAAATAGATTTTATTTTTTTATAATTCTTAAATATTCCATCATGATTTATTCAGAGCTCCCAAACCCCCTAATCCCACCAGGAGCGTCTGCGCTGCGTTGCGCCGCGGCTCGAAGCGTCCCAGAAGCTCCTCGCCGCAAGGAATTTCTAAAATATAGGATGAATCCTATTTTTGACGCGGCGCAGCGCAGCGAAGTGGAATGTTCATACAACAACTGCGAGGCTGCACATACGACACTCCGCTTCCGCAACGTTTTGAAACGCGCCTGGTGGGTTAGGACGCAGGAGGAGGTCGCAGCGCGGCGCAGCCGCGGCGCAGCCGCAGCGCAGACGCTTCCAGTGGGATCAGGGGGTAAGGGATGTTGATTCTGGGCTGTACCAATCCTGCTGAAACGCACATTTTCCTTCATAATATTTCAGGGCTCGATATTTACACGCACCCACTTAAACTCTGTGTATGGGCAAGTATATTGCCTAAAGCAGGAGTGCCCAACCTTTTTTTAACCGAGAGCTACTTTTAAAGTTGCCAGTCTGCCGAGATCTACCAGTCCAAATAGAGAGGCGTAGTACAGGAAAATACACACTTCTACTTGTATAAAACGGACCTTTGTACGATTAATACTTCATAAAATACTGCAGATCCTTTATCTTACCTCTTTCTAATCTACACACATACAAGTATTTAACTGAAGTTACACAACAGTGTTGTTGATACAGAGTTGGAGTTTATCCACACGTCACATACTACAGTGGGTAATGTTTTCAAGAAACATTGAACAGTGCTGCCACATATGACACAGGAAAAAAAGAAAAGACTCTGAACCCTTTCTTTGCCATTATATAAAAATAGTGTTGCTACAAAAGTATAAATTAGTTAAATACTATACTATATAATATATATACTATAGTATAGTACTATACTATTAGTATTAGTTACTTTGGCATGCCAAAGTGCAATAAAAAAGACACAATTAATAGAATCAAACATGTTTGTTGCATTTTAGTAGAGTATAAAAATAAATGCTTTTAAAATAGGATGCAAGCAACACTAGTTTCTTAACCTGAATTGATAATAGACTATAATCAATTTAAACGGAACAGATCTTAATGTTTGCATTCTTATACCATTTTGTGCAATAATTATAATGAATAAGTTCAAACAAACTAAAACTTACAGCTGATTAATAACAGTATCTAACTTGAGTTTTTATTATATCAAAAACCTGTTGAAATGCTACTGTTATTTTTACTGCCCCCAAAAAGCGCGTCGGCAGCCTCCAGGAATGCTTCTTTCACAACTTCGCCGTCTTTTAAAGACTTCATGTGTTTCGCAAGAACGTGACACGATAAGATGCTATGTTAGCAGCCTTGCTCTTGTTGTTGGGCCTGGTGAAAATGGACTGCTGTGCATTTAGCTGTCCTTTCAGGCCCCTCCCCTTTTGGGAGCGTAGGGCAGAATTAGGAGGGAATTCCGTCTCGTAGCGCTTGTGCACTGTTTTGAAATGCCGCTCCTAAATTACCCTTCTTCGATAAAGCCACGCTCGCATTGCAGATGAGACAGATGGACTTTGAATTGGAATAGATACAAAAATAATCATCCTCCCACTCGGAGTGAACATTATATATTTTGGGCTTTTTTGCTTCTGCCATAATTGCGGTCTTGTGTGTGTGCGGACTGTCACTCCTGTTGACACGGACAACGTCAGCGAAATAGTGCCCACTGCCCACCAGCCACGTCCCGACACATGGGGTCACGCCGGCCAATCACAAAGCTTTGATGCGTTCAAGTGCATTATTCTGGCACAGGAAGATGTTATGTTATAGGACATTAACGATAAAACAGAATATTGTTGTTCTATTTTTAGACACATCTCGCAATCGACTGGGAATCTCCCGGTCGATCGCGATCGACTGGTTGGGCACCCCTGGCCTAAATAAAGCAAAAGATAAATGTGATCTATATCAGAGAAGTCCCGATCTAATCTCGAAGACAGTGGTGGAAGAAGGCTCCAGATTGTAATATTTGTATCACTTATTCTCTGGGGGTAAAACACTTGATCCCACATCTCTAATTATGCAATTTAAACTTTGCAAACATTGTTACTGATTAGTGCTACTCTTGACCTCATGAACGTTATGGGTAACATTTGTGCCCTTTAAAGATCTGCATCACATTTCTTTCAAAAACAGTAGTCACATGTGTTTGTATGCCAAAACACCCTTGTTAAAGTCCCAGGGTTATCATTATCATATTATTGTGCATAAATCGATGAAACATTTGCATTTATTTCCACAAGAATAATAGGAATTTCCTGTGAAATCATAATAAAACCATGACATCTCTAGCATTAGTAGCAGGAGTAGTAAGACTTACCTTTATTTGCAAGTAGTACATTGTATTACAAACAAAAGTGGTATTACCTGTATGATCTCAACTATAGCCACCAGATCGGCCACAGAGATTTTGTCGCCAACTATGAACGGTTTATTCTGCAGGAACATGTCCTCCAGCATTTGGAGCGACTGATTCAGATCCTGCACAGCAGCGTCCATCTTCTCCTTCGGGACCTCGGAGCCCATGATGACAGGAAACAGAGCCTGTGAAGACCAATGAGACTTTGGTAAGAACGGAAGCAGTCCATAGAGAGGGGAAGTCCTGCCCATTTCCATTGGACCAACATGGAACCTCATTTTAGAAAAGATAAGTATGGTAGGCAACGGCGAAAGAAAAATAGTTTGATCCTGTTTAAAATGTGCCATGAACAGTGGCGACTGGTCATTATGGGCAGGTGGCACAGCCCCACCTAGTGTCAGCAGAAAGTGTTACAAATAATGATTACAAAGAATGCAAAAAAATAAATTATAAAACATATTTTAAGATCATGTTTAATCATCTGATTCGTCTGTACATTGCTGTTTTAGTCTGTGTTCTTCTAATTAGTGTCTACAGTGTGTGTCTATTGAGCTGTTTTGAGCCATGTGGGACAAAACCCGATCATGCCCCTCCCTCTCACTGTCTAAGTCAGGGGTCTGCAACCCGCGGCTCTCGACCCCTAATCTCCACCGCGTTACGGCCGCGTTACGGCGTCCGCAAAGATCGCGGCCACTCTAGTCAATGGGTGCTATTCCACCACACGTGGCGCGTAACTTACGGCCCAGAAGCGTCCCAGAAGCGTCTCGGCACAGGGCTTCTCTAAAATTAGGATGAATCCTATTTTTTTACGCGACGCAGCCGTAAGGTAAGGTCGGGCAGGCAGGAGGTGGAACATTCAGAGCATATATAGCATATATATATATATATATATTAGGGGTGTAACGGTCCTCTCTGAAGAACCAGCACCTTACCGTGGTAGAGAGGTTTGTGTGCCCTGATGAACCTGGGGGCTGTGTTGTCTGGAACCTTGTGTTCCTGGTAGGGTCTCCCATGGCAAATTGGTCTCAGGCAAGGGGCCAGACTAAGATTGGTTCAAAAGACCTCATGAAAGACGACACAAGAAGTGAGGATACCCGGCCCGGAGGAAGCCCGGGGTCCCCTTCTGGAGCCAGGCCCAGAAGGAGGACTCGTCGGCGAGCGTCTGGTGGCCGGGCTTGCCACGGAGCCCGGCCGGGCCCAGCCCGAAAAGGCAACGTGGGCAACACCTCCGCTTCTCCGTCCCGCGGGCCCACCACCTACGGGAAACATCGATGGGGTCGGGTGCGCTGCCGGAAGGGTGGCAGTGAAAGCAGAGGGTCTCGACGGACCAGACCCGGGCGACAGAAGCTGGCTTTGGGGACGTGGAACTAGTGTTAATTTCATCAGCTATTTTTTTATTTAGTTTTAGTCTTAGTCCTGTGTTAAATTTCCTTTTTAGTTTTAGTCATATTTAGTCACCTTCATCCTGTTTTTATTTAGTCAAGTTTTAGTCGACTAAAAGTCTGAGCATTTTAGTCTTATTTTAGTCGACTAAAACAGTAAACATTTTAGTCAAGATTTAGTCGACTAAAAGTCTGAGCATTTTAGTCATATTTTAGTCAAAGAAAACTAATTATTTTAGTCTACTTTTTGTCAATAAAAACTGTTGAGTATTTTTTAGTCATCAGATTATATAGAACATTTCAGTCAAACTAGTCTAGCCAAAACCAATAATTTGTCATTTTAGTATATATAAATAAATAAGATTATATCTTGTCCTTATTTGATGAAAAACACAGGTTGAATGATTAAGAATGCAGCTTTGCAGAGAGTATCTGCTCAGGTTTGTGGTGTTTTTACCAGCTGTGTTATGGCCACATTGCTTCCCTTCTGATAAAACAATGCATTCGCTTTTTTTCTCCGCCTCATTGTAGCGAAAATGGGCCCAAATATCACATTGTTTCTTTCTCCCAAGCAGTGGTGGCTTTAGACTTTTTCGTTGTCAGTCATTTTGACGCATCGTAACATTTCCGTCATAATCCATTATTATCCGTCGAGTGCACAATTTATCAATCACTCGCGCTGACGGGGGAGTATTCGGTTAACGCGAGTGCGACCACTGCTCCCAAGCCCTGTTGCCATTTCATTTTCTGTTAAATAAGGTTAGTTAGACCATGAGTTAGACCCGAGTCTTCCTGACAGTTCATATTGTGCCGCTGCCCGGTGTAATTCAAATCTACCGCCGCGCGCACCGCAGACACACACAGCTGCTGCCCTGCCGCAGCCCCGGAAATGGAACTGCTGGGAGAAAAACTGACTATCAGAGATGTAACGTTATCTTTGATAATATTTCGTCTCCTCATTTTTCGTCAACGAAAGTAAAGAGAGATTTTGGCATAGTTTTTATTTAGTGAACTACATTTTCATCTCGTCACTTTTCGTCAACGATATTGCATGATGATTTCGTTACAGTTAATGTTTACTGCCGTCGGTGCCGTCTCGTCATCGTCTCGTTTTCGTCATGGAAAAAAAGGTCGTTGACGAACATATTTCGTCATAGATTTAGTCAACGAAATTAACACTACGTGGAACGTCACCTCTCTGGGGGGGAAGGAGCCGGAGCTTGTGCGGGAGGTGGAGCGTTACCAGTTGGATCTGGTTGGGCTCACATCTACGCACAGCGTCGGCTCTGGAACCTTACTTCTGGATAGGGGTTGGACTCTATTCTTCTCCGGAGTTGCTCAAGGTGTGAGGCGCCGGGCGGGTGTGGGGATACTCACAAGTCCCCAGTTAGGTGCTTCGTTGTTGGAGTTTACCCCAGTGGACGAGAGGGTCGCCTCCCTACGCCTGCGGGTTATGGGGGGGAAAACTCTGACAGTTGTGTGTGCTTATGCACCCAACAGCAGTTCAGAGTATACGGCCTTCTTGGAGACCCTGGAAAGAGTCCTGTATGGGGCTCCTGAAGGTGACTCTTTAATCTTGCTGGGAGACTTCAACGCACATGTGGGCAATGATGGAGACACTTGGAGGGGTGTGATTGGGAGGAACGGCCCCCCTGATCTGAACCGGAGTGGTGGTTTGTTACTGGACTTCTGTGCTAGTCATGGATTGGCCATAACAAACACCATGTTCGAACATAAGGATGCTCATAAGTGTACGTGTTACCAGAGCACCCTAGGCAGAAGGTCCATGATCGATTTCGTTATCGTATCATCGGACCTGAGGCCGTATGTTTTGGACACTCGGGTAAAGAGAGGGGCGGAGTTGTCAACTGATCACCATCTGGTGGTGAGTTGGGTCGAGTGGCGGCGGAAGCCTCTGGATAGACCTGGTAAGCCCAAACGTGTAGTTCGGGTGAACTGGGAACGTCTGGAGGAGGCCCAAGTTCAGGAGGCCTTCAACTCACACCCCCGGCGGAGCTTTTCGGGCATTCCTGTGGAGGTTGGGGACATTGAACCAGAGTGGTCGGTGTTCAAAGCCTCTATTGCCGAAGCCGCGGCGGGGAGCTGTGGTCTCAAGGTCCTAGGTGCCTCAAGGGGCGGTAACCCTCGAACCTCCTGGTGGACACCGGTGGTTAGGGAAGCCGTCCGACTGAAGAAGGAGGCCTTCAGGGATTTGTTATCCCGGGGGACTCCCGAGGGAGTTGCAAGGTACCGACAGGCCCGAAGGGCAGCAGCCTCATCCGTGGCCGAGGCAAAGCAGCGGGTGTGGGAGAAGTTCGGAGAAGACATGGAGAAGGACTTTCGGGCGGCACCAAAGTTGTTCTGGAAAACTGTCCGACACCTCAGGAGGGGGAAGCAGGGAACCATCCAAGCTGTGTACAGTAAGGATGGGACGTTGTTGACCTCAACTGATGGAGTGTTAGGGCGTTGGAAGGAACACTTTGAGGAACTCCTGAACCCGACAACTCCGCCCTCTATGTTAGAGGCAGAGCTGGAGTATGACGGGGGATCAACACCAATCTCCCGGGGGGAGGTCACTGAGGTCGTCAAACAACTCCACAGTGGCAAAGCCCCGGGGGTGGATGAGATCCGCCCGGAAATGCTGAAGGCTCTGGGTGTTGAGGGACTGTCATGGTTGACACGTCTCATCAACGTTGCGTGGAAGTCGGAAACAGTACCGAAGGAGTGGCAGACCGGGGTGGTGGTTCCCCTTTTTAAAAAGGGGGATCAGAGGGTGTGTGCCAATTACAGAGGCATCACACTACTCAGCCTCCCCGGGAAAGTTTACACTAAGGTACTCGAAAGGAGGGTCAGGCCGATTGTCGAACCTCAGATTGAGGAGGAACAATGTGGATTCCGTCCTGGTCGTGGAACAACGGATCAGCTTTTTACTCTCGCAAGGATCCTGGAGGGGGCCTGGGAGTATGCTTATCCGGTCTACATGTGTTTTGTAGACTTGGAGAAGGCGTATGACCGAGTTCCCAGGGAGTTACTGTGGGAGGTGCTGCGGGAGTATGGGGTGAGGGGGTCTCTACTCAGGGCCATCCAATCTCTGTACTCCCAAAGCGAGAGCTGTGTCCGGGTCCTCGGCAGTAAGTCGGACCCATTTCCGGTGAGGGTTGGCCTCCGCCAGGGCTGCGCTTTGTCACCAATCCTGTTTGTAATATACATGGATCGGATTTCGAGGTGTAGTCATGGGGGAGGGGGTCTGCAGTTCGGTGGACTAAGGATTGCACCACTGCTTTTTGCAGATGATGTGGTTCTAATGGCTTCATCGGTCTGCGACCTTTAGCACTCACTGGATCGGTTCGCAACCGAGTGTGAAGCGGCTGGGATGAGGATCAGCACCTCCAAATCTGAGGCCATGGTTCTCAGCAGGAAACCGATGGACTGTCCACTTCAAGTAGGGAATGAGTCCTTACCCCAAGTGAAGGAGTTCAAGTATCTCGGGGTCTTGTTCTCGAGTGAGGGAACAATGGAGCGTGAGATGGGCCGGAGAATCGGAGCAGCGGGAGCGGTACTGCAGTCGCTTTACCGCACCGTTGTGACGAAAAGGGAGCTGAGCCAGAAGGCAAAGCTCTCTGTCTACCGGGCCATTTTCGTTCCTACCCTCACCTATGGTCATGACCGAAAGAACGAGATCGCGGATACAAGCGGCCGAGATGGGTTTTCTCCGCAGGGTGGCTGGTGTCTCCCTTAAGGATAAGGTGAGAAGTTCGGTCATCAGGGAGGGACTCGGAGTTGAGCCGCTCCTCCTTCGTGTC